AAACCCATGCGATAAAGGTCGAATTTTTAATCAAATACACAAAGTCAACCAAAAAGTCAACCCGAGCCCGCACCCCGAAAATCGAGAAACTCACTAATTTCGATAACTCATTCGAATACGAGTCCAACCTTACTAATTTTACTCAAATTCGACTCCGAATTGATGTTCAAAATACAATTATTCAATTTAGGAAAATTTTGACAACCCTCCCCCCTATCTTTCCATCTCTGTGGCTTCCAATGTCCTTAATTATCAGCCCCACACATGTTTTCTCTTTTTCAGCTAACAGACACGATATCTTAGTAGACGATCCTGTGGGTATGACTCATATCTTTTCTGCACATTATTCTTCTTTATTGCTTCGATTCCCATGCCACCTATCATCATAATATTGGTCCACATGGTGAGTTTATTTTTTACCAATACAAATTTGAAGAGATACCACATGCTGTCCCAACTAAGCAGATGAAATTGATACTGAAGTAGTGATTTTAATATATGTCTAAAATGTAATTCTTGAAAGCCTCATGCTGATGTGGCACAAAGAGTGATTTTCACTAAATGAGCGTTTGGACATAAGAGTTGTAAAATTCCAAAAAAAATAAAAAAAATTTCAAGTGAAAATGGTGTTTAAAAATTAGAGTTGTGTTTAGACATGAATATAATTTTGGGTTGTTTTTGAAGTTTTGTGAGTAATCTGAGTGAAAATTTTGAAAATCAGTTTTTTTAGAGTTTTTCAAAATTTCGAAAGATTCCAAAATGCATCTTCAAGTGAAAATTAGAAATTTTATGAACAAACGCTGATTTCGAAAAAAAGTGAAATTTTTTTGAAAAAAAGAAAAAATTTTCTTATGTCCAAACGGGCTCTAAAAGTATAGCATGGGAGTTTCTTCTTGTTCTTCTTACCTTTATCTCCTCTCTACCGCCACCACATCTCTACCATCTTTTTGGTCGGCAAACCGTCAAGGAGCTTCTTTTCTCTTTTTTGTGCCTCGACCCAACTCCAAATAATGGAGCCAAAAGCGTGATGATTCTGCTATTGGGAACTCTTATGCTTGAAGCTGACATTCAATGGAATAGAGAGATGATGATGTGATGGGATTAGACAGATGATTTATGTGCAGTTTATTTGTCACGATCCAAAATCCACTATAGGTCATGATAGCGCCTAACACCACCGTTTGATTTAATTACTCATTTTATTATTTTAAAATCATAATTTCCACTACTTAAATAGTATAAAATAGAATATACATGGGAAAATGTTAATAACTACGTGATCTGCAATGACAAACAACAGTAGGAACCCCCAAAACTCAGTGTCACAAGTGCATGAGCATCAACTAGGAAATATAATATAATACAACATCTGTCTAGAATACAAAATTAGACAGGAAAAATATAAATAACTTTGATGGAGACTCTGTAGGTTGCGGAGCGTAACATGGAATGCAACTTACGGTGAATTCCCCACAATAGCCGCGCTGTTGCGCCCAAAAGACCATCAAACATGTAAGTACCTGCACAAAAAGTGCAGCAAGTGTAGCATGAGTATGTAAATCACCGCGTACCCAGTAAGTATCCAGCCTAACCCCAGAGAAGTAGTGACGAAGGGTCAACATCGACACTTACTAGAGGTCCAATAAGACAGATACAATAGGAGTAAACAGATGTGAATCAGAGTAAGTAAACGAAAATAACAAGTGTAAATACGTGATGCAACTCTCTTCTCAAAGATATCTCAAGCTCTCAGCTAGTAGTTACCTCCTCAATCGGAGTATATATAATATGAACCTTACCAGATAGGTCGTCATAGCTCAATCAGGGGAAGCTCACAGATATGCTGGCTTCTTGCCCATTATTGCGCACTATTTCATAAGAGTATTTCATAGAAATGCCGAGGCGTACGACCCGATCCATCATAACATTACCAAATCACAGATACATCTATTTTGTTGCTGAGGCGAACGACCCGCTCCCATGAGAGTGTGGTACATAAATTCTGTCGTGGCGTACGGACCGATCCCATTAGTGTGTGCACTGCTGAGGTTCGAACAATATGAACCATAGATGTATCTATCCTACCGAGGCGAATGGCCCGATCGCATTAGAATAAGAAGCTTTGACGGGTCCTTGACCCCACTCACGAATAGACGTGTGAGTTATAAATTTTTAAGGGAAACCTTTCGGTGAGAACGCATAACGTGGGAGAAATTCGTAAGAGGAGTACAATTATGAAGCCCGTCGAATCTCTACAATAGCAAATCTATCACTCTACACAAGTCTAGTCTCAAGTCTCAACGTAATATGAAGGAATTTAATAGGTAAGAGACAACTCAAATAGTACAGTCATAGCATGGCAGAAACCTAAGTCTACCCGTACATAACATGAATTTAGCTACGCACGGACTCTCGTCACCTAGTGCGCACGTAGCCCCCCCATAACAAGTAACACATAGAAAATACATCACCTAGGGGTAGTTTCCCCCCTCACAGAGTTAGACAAGAGACTTACCTCGCTTTAAAGTTCCATAACCGATTCCAAAGCCTCTCTAACACCTCAAACCGATGCTCGTCGATCCAAAACTATTCAAACAAATGCGCAAACCAATCAAAATATATTTTAATATCCATAATTAATCATTTTAAACAATTCCCAACTCCGTTCGAAAAAATCGATAAAATTAACTCTCGGGCCCACGTACCCGGATTTCAAAAATTTCGAAGATAACTTTACCCATAACACTACGAGCTAAAATATATAACTTATTTCAAATTCCATGTCCAGTTTCGTGGTCAAAATTCAAAAATACCAATTTCTAGGTTTTTTACCAAAATCCCAAATTTCTACTAATTTTCATGTTTAAATCCATATATAAATCATGTATTTGACTTATAATAGGTGGAAATCACTTACCTTGTGATGCTTGATGAAAATCCTCCCCTTGAAGCTCTCCAAAATCGCCCCAACCAAGTAAAAATGAAAGAAAATGGGCCAAATTCCGTTTTTATAAGAACTTCACTGCCCAGACGACTTTCGCATATGCGGAAACATTAACCGCTTCTACGGCTCCGCTTATGCTGCTCCGCTTCTGCAGCTCCACTTCCGCGGGTCCGAGTCCGCTTCTGCGGCTCCCTTCAGGCCCTTCAACCTCCGCATCTGCGGCCCCTCCAGCGCTTCTGCGCCTTCGCTTCTGCGATGCATCATCCGCAGGCGCGTTCCCGCTTCTACGGGAATCAACCGCATCTACGGTTCCAGCCTTCCCCAGCCATTCCGCTTCTGTGCTCAAGGACGCTGCATCTGCGCCATCGCCGGTGTGGAAATGGCTTCGCACCTGCGCCACTGCCCTGCTCGCCCAGAACTGCTTCTGCGACCCTCTTGGTCGCTTCTGCGGCTCCGCACCTATGACCAAAACCTCACAGGTGCGGGTACACCACATATGCTACCACCAACATTTTCATAAGGCCAAAATCAAACTGCTAGTTATCCGGAATCCACCCGAGGCCCCCGGGACCTCGACCAAATATATCAACCATTCCTAAAACATCTTATGAACCTAGTCGAGCCTTTACATTACGTCAAACAACATCAAAATCATGAATCGCGCCTCGAATTAAACTTATAAATTTTCAAATTTCCAAAATCTATATCTTGTGCTGAAACGTATCAAATTAAGTGCGATTGACTTCAAATTTTGCACACAAGTCATAAATGACATGGCGAAGCTATTCTAAGGCTCGGAATCCCAAACGGACATCGATAACATTAAAATCCACTTCAAGTCAAACTTAAAAATTTCCTAAACTTTTAAAAAAGCAGCCTTTCATAATAGGCGCCGAAATGCTCCCGGACCACCCGATACTCAACCCGAACATACGCAAGTCCGAAATTATCATGCGAACCTATTGGAACCTTCGAATCCCGATTCCGAGGTCGTTTACTCAAAAGTCAAATCTTAGCCAATTCTTCCAACTTAAAGCTTCCGAAATTAAATTTTTCTTTCCAAATCAATCCCGAACTTCCCGAAATTCAATTTCGACCAAACGTACAAGTCATAATACCTGAAGTGAAGCTACTCAAGGCCTCAAACCGCCGAACGACGCGCTAGAGCTCAAAACGACCGATCGGGTCGTTACATTATTGGTGCTTTTTGTGTTATGCTTAGGGTTTTTTCCATGAGAGTATTATGGGAGATGACGACCATCAATTTAATGAAAAGAATTTTTTTAAAAAGTGAATGGAGAGTGCAGACGACGAATATGGTAGAGATCGGGTGACTATCTACTGTTGAGGTCAATAAAGTGATTAAAATGACTAAAAATATGGAAACAATTACTCCATTTTTTTCACGTTCATAATGCCATCTTCTCGTATTTTAGTCTCGAGATACTCTAATAGGTAGAAACAACTACTCCATTTCTCCTCTCGAGTTTCTTTGCAATAGAACATATTCTCACTAATCTTGTCTCCATTATTCACAACAAATTTCGGATAATTTTCAATTTTTACTCTAAAAAAACTAATGAGAAAAACATAAAATTTCATTATTCACAATTAAGTACTAAAGTTTTCAGTTTGGCTCTAAACAGGTGCCGAGAAAGCAATAGTTTTGTTTCTACAGCTAGATGGTTGATAATCCCGAAGAATTAAGAGAAGAAAAAAAAAGAAAAAGAAGAAAGTAGAACGGGAGTAATCACATATGTTCCTTTAATAACGTCTAAATATCATGCGCTTTACTTATATTTTATGTCTAACAAGTAAGATTTTAGTTGAAATATTTAAGTGAAAAAAATATGATAACTTTAGGGCTGTTTATGTATTTGACAATTTAAAAATTATTTAATTTGTACATGATCAACACATACTTTTAAGAATTGATTTGCAAAATATCAAGTTGGCATTATTCACAAAAATATTCATCCATTCTTGTCACCTGTATCATCATAAAGCGTATTGTGCCATGTGCAACAGCATTTGTACATTGCGCCGGGAAGTTTTTAAGTTTTGCATTGTCAATTCCCAAATTGATCCTATCCAAATTCAACAAGACTACCTTAAACCACAATGCTTTCTGCACCGAGAGCACCAGCACCGGCGGTGGCGGTGGCGGCGCCCGCACGTTTCAAATTCCAAAACGTATGCGGGAATCCTGTTAATCTTCTTCTGCTGCACAGAAATGTTGGTAGTAGTTGCAAAAGGGTGGTGGTTTCAACTAAAGCTGCTTACAGTCGTATGCCAATGGACACACCAGGGGCTTACCAGCTCATAGATAAAGAGAGTGGAGATAAATTCATAGTATGGGGAGGTACAGAAGATGACGACTCTTCTATCCCTTCCAAGGAAGTTCTCTCTTGGAAACCTCTAGCTTCTACTTCTCCTGACAACAACCACCCTCCTCCAACTCAGAGTAGCAGTAATGAAGGTAAAATGAAGCTTTGTGATTTTAAACATGCCATAACTTGGCGTAAAATAAAAAGTTTAAGTTAAATTGTTTTCAATTTTTTTTCCATAACAAACTAAAAAAAGGAAATATGGTCACACTAAGTAACATTTTGGCCTTTTTGTTTAAAATTGTTTTAGATGTCTTAGTTTATTATTAATGCAGAATTTTGTATACTGTGTTAAATGTTAATTGAAGCATGTTTTCAGGTGTGTTAGCTTTTGTACTATCCAAAATGGGCTGTTCAACGTGAAAGAAGAAAGGAATTTTTTTGTCAAAAATAAAATATATTGAGGAATTTTGGTGAATATTGATGCTAATTGGATATCAGGATTGGTTTTTGTTGGTGAAATGTTTTATGTACTAGCCAAGATTAGCAATCTAGTATTGATAGAGCAAGGGAAAAAAGTAAAAGACGATATTGTTTGTTTCAGTCTGATTTTTACCAATGGGCAATTTTGTGTGGGTATGATGTTGGATCTGAAGCTTACACTTTTTTTTGGTGTATTAGGTTTTTAATTTCCAAAATGAGCGATACAGTATAGAGGAAAGGAACGTGTAGCGCTATTTACAGAGTATATGCAACAATCTTCCTTTGCTTACTATGATTATCTATCCCCCTGTAGAGTGAAGTACTGAGTTCACTGTGCTTAAGATTGCAACTTATGCAGTCTTTTATTTATCAGTTGAGAAGAAAACATATGTGCCATATTTTATTAGGTACTTGCCAAGCCAAATTATCAGATGGTTTACATTCATCTGCTGATTATAACATGAGCTTTGAGGGATTAAAACTGCCATAACGTTCAGGATGTGTATTACTTTATGTTTCTAATCAGATATCCCTCTTATAAATCTGCAAATGTGTTGTATGGAAATTCTTTCCTATGCTTTTCCTCTAATTTTGAAGTTCTTTCTTACGGCTCTGCAGCTTCGACTAGGGGATTGACAGGGAATTTCGGCAGACTGAAATTTCGAAGAATGAGAGATCTAGTAAGAAAAAGCTACACAAAAAACAAAGAACGCGATGTTATTGATCACGACAAACACAATATTACAGATGCCTCTTCCCGATCATCATGCAGTTCATATAATGAACCTGATCAGTTAAAAGAGCAACAAACGCTTAGTCTTCCTAGAGGTCGTGCCAAAATTCAGCAGCTAGAAGACAGAAAGAATTTCCAAAAATTAATCAGAGTGGAAGATGAAGATAGAGATATAGCTATCGAAAATGTTAGCAAACATTTCGAAGGCTATAGCAGTGATTATCATGCAGAATCTGCAAGAGTAGTTCATCCTGGATCAAAAGCTTCGGCTTCTCCCTTACGTGGATGGGGTGGGGGATCAATTGATTACAGACTTAAGAGGGAAGAAATTTTAAGAGAACGGCGAAACTTGGATGATGAAAATAATTTCTTTAGTAGAAAATCCTTTCAAGAGTTGGGATGCAGTGACTATATGATAGAATCCTTAAGGAATCAGCACTTTGTGCGCCCTTCACATATTCAGGTAGATAATTTACTTTATTTTGAGCATGGAATGGTCAATACTCCAGGTTACCTCATTGCTTTGCTGCAATTCTGATGCATAATAGCGGCTAACATGCCAACAGTCTCATGGATATGGTAGTTTGAATTGCATCATCAATATATCTGTCTTGGTATCTTTACCTCTGCTTCAATTGGCTAGTCGTGTCCTCTGAATAGCCTGCTTATAAAATATTTCTTCTGGATTTTTTCAAGCTATTCTTGATTTTGTATTATGATTCCCGTGACGCTTCATTTCCCTCAAAATACGGCCCAGCAATGCCTGCTTTAATATTTTTTCGTGCCGGCAATTTCTTATCTGTCTTTAGATGGCTATCCCCAGTCCCCATGTATTATTTTGAGAAATCTCTATTTATGCTTCTTACAAGCAGTAATTATAGAGTACTTGCAGGCTATGACATTTGGACCCATCATTGCTGGAAAGAGCTGCATAATATCTGATCAAAGTGGATCTGGAAAGACTTTGGCATATCTACTACCACTTATTCAACGTCTTAGGCAAGAAGAACTTGAAGGACTTAGCAAACCATCATCTCAAAGTCCTCGGGTTGTAGTACTGGCACCAACAGCTGAATTGGCTTCTCAGGTCTGTCAAATTTCCTCTTCCATTAAAGGAACATTTGCCATTTATTCCCCCAACCGTTCGGCAACCACGCATAGGAAAAGGAAGAAAAAAATGAGAGAGAGAGAGAGAGAGAGAAAGAGAAGCATTAGTCGATTACCAGCTCATAAATTTATGGCTGCGTTCGCCTAAATTGGTGTGAGAAGTGCGTTAGAATATATTTTACACTAATTTTCTAGCCAAAGCCCCATGCCATATTCTCATAATTTTCATGGCACGTCTTCAATGAAAAACATTTACTGCTCTTCTACCATCTCTAAGGGAAAAAATCAATTAGCCATTATGGTTTTTTAATAATGAATCGGTTGGGTGATGGTAGTAGAGTAAGCTTTTGGGGACGTAAATGGTGTGGAGGTAACACTTTGAGTATCACTTTTCCTAACATGTACAAGATTTCATGCCAAAAGAAGATGTCGAATCAAAGCATACGGAGGATACAAGGTGGAGAAACGCATTGGATTTGAAGTTTAGGAGGAACTTGCAAGACTAGGGGTTCATTGAATCCCAGGGATGGATGGAGTTGCTCAACAAGCAGAATACTTGTCATGGCCCAAAATCCCTCCAAAGGTCGTGATGACGCTTAACCTGTTTGCTAGGCAAGTCAACACTCAACAACAACAATATGATTTTCATGATATAAATAATAAGGCGGAATAAGTTCAGATATAAATATAAAAAATGCCTGAATCCTAGACAGGGTCTAAACGCGACCACAATTGTCTCACAAGTTCCAAGAACTGGTGTCACAAAATCATCACAAACATCTAACAAGAGTATATAGTTCAACTGAACAATAATGTCTGTTCAGAAAATGAAAATACAGACAAATATAAAAGAGCAGGGAAGGGGGACTCCATATGCTGCAGATCGAATCAAGTAAAACAGCTCACCACGAAGTCTCCAACAAAATACTCCTACTCAGCACAATGGGTACCGCTAGGGTGGCAAGCGGGCGGGTCAGGTTGGATGTGGGCGGGTCGTAAACGGGTAATGCAAAAAATGGATAAAATTTAATACGGATAGAAAATGGTTTAACTGGCGGATAATATAGATATCGATATTATCCATGGCTTCTTAAATATGATCACTTTTGGGAGAATTCCTAGTATCTCAAACTTGAGAACCCCCAATCTGAGTCTTTGCAAATGTAAAAGTTAAATCCATTGGTTATTTATTTTTTAAGTGATAATATGGATCTTATCCATATTTGTCCCATTTTTAAAAAATTCATTATCCAACCCATTTTTTAGTGGATAAAATGGATGAATAAATATTTTTTTATCCATTTTGCCACCAATAGGTACTGCTGATACCAACCTCAGAACCCACACAAAATGTGCTATGAGTACAAAACCACGATACTCAATAAGTATCAAGTCTAGCCTCGAAAAAGTAGTGACGGTCGACACTGACACTTACTAATAGCTCAATGAGCATATGAAAACATAATTAGAACATGAAATAAAGCATGATACAATCAATTAAGCTCACAGTAGAAACATGACAACCTGGAATCTAAACATGCTTTTTAAACAAGAGAGAATACATTATCAGTTACTTAATTCTTTTCATAATCATGATATGAGTCAGTCAACATTCATTGATAAATAAGAGCCACTACATGAGTCGAGGCTACTTCAACTTTCATAACAGTTCAATGTACTTATTTAACATTTTAAGTCTGATCGTGGTATCAACGAGCAAGAAGCCAAAAGCCAATCAAGTAAGGCAATTGTTTGACTACGGCTAAATAGAAAGACCACACGATGAAAGTAGCCCATCATATCCAAATCAACAAGTTATAACTCTAGCATAGCTTCTAATCATGATTAAGATTCATCACGTAGTCATAGAATCAAAAAAACATTAATAAACAATTCATAAGGTCCGAATAAGGCATATCATAAGCCTAACTCTGTCCGGCTAAGGTCATAACCTAGCTACCGATATACGCTCATCACCTCGCATATAAGTGGCACCTAAATCATGCAACAAATAGCAAATAGATCACCTATGGGGACAATTCCCTCTTACAAGGATGGACAAGAGATACCTCTTCCCGGTAACACCTTCAATCTTCCAAAATATATTTTCCCTTCAAATCCACCTCCAAACGACTCAAATCTAGTCAAATATTACTCAAACGAGTCAAATAATGCTATTAATATTCAATCCCAAACATTAAAGCTTTAATCTTTAATCAAATTCCAAAAAGTCAACAAAAGTTAACCTGGACCCACATAGTCAAAACCCGAGTCTAAGAGTAGTAAATTCCAAATTCGAGTCCAAATCGACCCACAAATCCCCAAAATACATCCTCTTAAGTTCATATAAAAAACCCTAATTTCTACATTTTAGATCCTTGTTTACAGGGGTTAAAATCCATGGGGAACCAAAATATGCAATCAAATCTGGGTAGGAATTACTTACCCTCAAAGTAGTAGTGAAACTCTCCTAAGCAATCGCCTCTTTCCGAGCTCCAAAACTCAAAATAATGAAAAAAAAGCTAAACCTCGAAATATAACATGCTGCCAGGCAATTTGCATTTGCGGCCCAAAATATTGCATCTGCGAGACAGCTTCCGCGACCACACGCTCGCATTTGCGAGTTGCCCAGGCTCCTTCTCCGCTTTTGCGCCAGGTCACGCATCTGCGCCTACAACAGAAACCCGCAGGTGCGGCCACCTCTGGCCTGACCAACATGCGCACCTGCGACCTCTCTTCCCTAGGCGCGACTCCGCAGGTGCTACAAGCACCTCACTTCTGCGGCATACCCAGCCTGGCCAACATGCGCATCTGCGCACAATGCACCGCAGGTGTGACCGTCACACTTGCGCACCTTCCATCGCAGGTGCGGTGCATCAGACACTAGCAACTTCCAAACAACACCAAAATGATCCGAAACCATCCCGAAACACACCTGGGCCCCCATCTAATCATACCAACACCAATTATGCACAATAGCCGCCAACTCCAAATGAATCGAATAATTCTTCTCATTGGGCTTTAGCTGCCGTGACGCATAAGCATATCACCCTACCATCCTGCATCAACACCGCGCCAAGACTGACGCATGAAGCATCACAATACACTGTGTGACCCTGAACTTGTGGGCAACACCAATACTGGAGTTGTAGTCAAAGCAGTCTTGAACTTCTGAAAGCTCTCCTCACACTCATCAGACCATCTAAAAGGAACATCTTTCTGAGTCAACTTGGTCAATGGGGTTGCAGTAGATGAAAATCCCTCCACAAAACGACGATAGTAGCCTGCCAAACCCAAGAAACTCCTAATCTCTGTTGCTGCAGAAGCTCTACGCCAACCCTGAACCGCCTCAATTTTCTTTGGATCCACCTTGGTACCCTCACTAGACACCACGTGGCCCAAGTATGCCACATAATCTAACCAAAACTCACACTTGGAAAACTTAGCTTATAATTTCTTTTCCCTCAGAATCTGAAGCACAATCCTCAAATGTTGCTCATGCTCCTCCCTACTACGCGAATACACCAAGATATCATAAATGAACACAATGACAAAAGAGCCCAAATATGGCTGGAACACACTATTTATCAAATGCATTAATGCTGCTGGGGCGTCAGTCAAACCAAAGGACATCACCAAAAACTCATAATGTCCATAACAAATCTTGAAGGCCGTCTTAAGGATGTTTGAAGCCCTAATCTTCAACTGGTGATAACCCGATCTCAAATCAATCTTTGAGAACACCCTGACACCCTGAAGGTGATCAAACAAATCATCAATACGAGACATTAAATACTTGTTCTTGATAGTGACCTTGTTCAATTACCTATAATCAATACACATCCTCATGGAACCATCCTTCTTCACAAACAACACCGTTGGCCTGATGAATCCCTTATCCAACAACTCCTGCAACTGTTCCTTCAACTCATCTGGAGCCATACGGTACGGTGGAATAGATGTAGGTTGAGTGCCCAACACCAAATCAATACTAAAATCAATATCCCCATCGGGTGGCATGCCGGTAGGTCTGCAAGGAACACATCCGAAAACTCCCTTACCACAGGGACTGAATCGACAGTGGGAGTCTCAACACTAGTATCTCTAACAAAGGCCAGGTACGCCAAATACCCCTTCTCAACCATCCGCCGAGCCTTTAGGAATGAAATTACCTTACTAGGAGTATGTCCAAGAGAACCCCTCCATTCCAACCTTGGCAACCCCGACATAGCCAACGTCATGGTCTTAGCGTGACAATCAAGAATAGCATGATACGGAGATAGCCAATCCATACCTAAAACCACATCAAAATCTATCAAGTTCAGCAACAGAAGATCAACCCTAGTCTTATAACCCCAATAGTAACCACACAAGATCGGTATACGTGATCCATCACAATAGAATCACCTATACATGAACAAGAATATCAAAAAAACCACGACATATCCAAATAAGGAGCAAAATGCGGTGACACATATGAATAGGTAGGCCCCATATCGAATAATATAGAAGCATCTCTATGACAAACCGAAACCATACCTTTGATCACAACATCTGAGGCCACCGCCTCGGGTCTACCCGGAAAAGCATAGCAATGAGCATGACCACTATAGATCTAATTTCCACCTACCTGGCCCCCTCATCTAGGGTGAATTCGAGCTGCAAGTCCTCCCCTAGCTGACTAGGTAGGGGCTGGAGCAACTGGCGCGGGAATCCCTGTCTGAGAACTCTGTGGAGCTACGCCCATAACAAGCCTGGGTCACTGCCTTCTCATGTGGACAATCTCTCAATACTCATAACAACCTCTAGCTGATCGAGGCTGCTGAATCTGAACTTGCTCTTGATGGTCTGAATACCCACTGGAAGAACCCTAAATAGACAGAGCACGGTACGAACTCACCAGGAGAGCACTGAAAGATGATGGAACTGGAGTGCTAAAAGATGATCGAGCCACTGCTCCAAGGGCTATATGCTGTGCAG